CTCAGTCAGACAGGTGAACTGACAGATAGCCTGCTTACATATGACTCGTCCCCATATCCCTGCATCCCTCTCTCCATTTTCCCACTCTTGTTCCTCCCTGATTCACCCTGATTCCTACCGTCTGCTGCCCTTGGCCCTTCCACTAAACATCCCATAGCAAGTTTCACATGAACCAAAAAGCTCTTTCTACCTCTCTGATATCTCATAATGAGTTTCAAACAATCCCACAAGCCTCCTCAAATATTCTATAATACTTATGTTAATGGTAGTTCCCTCTTATCAGCTACAAAGTTCATTTTGAACCTTTACAGGGCTATGTCTAAGTTACTCCTTTAATGGCTCAACAGTCAGTGGTAGAAAAGTGTTGATTTTTGGTTTTGTTACTGTTACCACCTTCTTGTTAATGTTTACATGTTTAATTCATCACTTTCATTGATATTTGTGATTAAGTTTATACTAAGAAGTTCTTAACCATATAACTTAATGAACCAGATGCTCTCATATTTCACTTCTAGTAGGAGAGGGATACTTTCTTTAGAAGGGCAGTGTCCATAGTTTTGAGCCTAATCAGTCTCTTTTCTCTTTTTAGATGATGAAATGATGGAGTTTTGCATTGGTCTCCAGACTTTGTTGTCTCTCAAGGTAAGGAACAGCTTCTTGCAGGCCTCCTCTCAGAGTCCTCCAGATTTGGTTGCTGGAGGCATCAAAAATTCTCATGGTCAGGCCTTCCAGAGTGCCACTCGCAATGCTTGTTGCACAGTTACCAACCACACAAGCTGCAAATAGGAAGAGGAAAATGAAGAAGAAACTGGGAAAGGCAGGGCACAGTATATCACTATATGTCTATGACTATATATGACTATATGTCTATGTTGCCTTTTGAATACAGATGGGAACAAGCCTTATCTTTGAGCCAAGTGAAGCTGTATTGCTACATTCAATAGACATTAGCTGGGCACAGATGGAGAGAGTCCTCTCCTTTTGTCAGCTCAGAGCTCAAGATCAGCGCTCTGCTGAGCTTGGCTTCTGCTCCCCTCAGAGCATGGCCGCAGGAAGCTTGTGCCTGCCTGTCAAATACCATGGAGCCACATGGTTGGATGCATAAAGCAGGAAAAGCACTGGACTGAAAGGCTGGGTGATGTGAGGACGTCATCTCAAATGAGGTCAGATGAGAAGAAGGGAGGTGGACAGGTGGCCCTGTGAAGGGTTTAGAGATGAACTAACTGGAGGGAATAGGAGCAAGGAGGCTGCACAGGGGACAGGGAGGGGAACTGTGAGGTTGCTACAAATCCAAAGTGGGGTGCTTGATGGTTATACAGGTTTTCCCCTGTCAGACATCACAAGACTGAGGTACTTGCTACCTGGAATGTCCAGCAAGTAACCAGCTTTCTCCTTCTTAGTGTTGCATCGACTTGGAGGAAGGAGTCCTGAGATTTAAAACACTGAATCAAGATTTGCCTTTTCTACATGCTTTTGAAGAGCCTGGTCAGTGACTGACTGCATCCCCCATGTCTGGGGCTGAGAAGACTTGCTGCCATATGAGAGAGATGAGGGTGAGGCTCACGTGCCCCTAACCTTGCCAAATTCTGGGTTGATGCTTTCACCGTGGAGTGAGAAAAAGACAAATGGGTGCTGGGAACTGTTGTTACTGGGAGTGTCTCACCTTGAGAGAGCTCTCCCTACTTTCATTAGACCTTCTGCTTGTCCCCATGTGCTGAGTGGGCTTTTCCTTGTTTTTCTATCTGTCCCTAGTCCCCTGATTTCTGTTTCTCTCTACCCTTTTAATGACTTTTTTTTTTTTTTTTTTACAATACCCTCTGTTCATGAGACAAGAGAGTCACTGTGAACAGTCTGCAGTTGTTCTATGGACAGGACAGTGCTTTTTCCAAAAGCTTCCAAAGATTGCTATGTATGTTTCCCTTAGCTCTTTTCCTTAATGTGAACACACTCCACTCTCCTTTCTTTGTGGGAAGGGCTCTGTGGCCAGTCCCCTCACCTGCACTCTGGGAAGCTGGATTTTGTTACTTCTTTGCTGGCTCAGAGCAGAACAGGATTTTATTGGGGGAAAAAATGCAGCAAGAGCACTTTTAGAGTTCTTAATTCTAAGAAACCTTTGAAAAAAAATAAATACTGAACTTAGATTCATAGAGTATGGTAGACACCAATGGATGCTTGGGCTTTATTACTGCATCATTGGCTACTAGGCTATATTGTGTGAACAGCAAAGCTACACATGGTAACCAGGCTGCTCCTCTCTGCAATTCAGCTCTGAGAGCTATATTCCTATCACCTCTGCTGTATCACCAGTTTGCAAGCCTGCCACTCATGTTAAATGTTAAGATGAATTATAATACCCAGTCTTCTGCTCTGTTAGCAACTTTCTTTCAACATCAGATCTAGTGATTGGACACAAATACATCATCAACCTCAAGTCCTGGCATTTCACAGCCCATCAACTTTGCTACTATTGCAGGAAATGAGAACTAGACTACTATGCAGAATCAGCTCAGATCAGACAACTGTGAACTCATCTGGGATGAACAGTGGTTATAAGTCACTTCTTCTTTTCCATTTGCATCCTAGAGCATAACTGTATGATAAATTCAAAGTCTATTCTTTATTAGCTATAGGAAAGATGTACCACATCAGGGCTTGCTCCATCTCACAACTATCTATTGACTATCCAAACTTCACAATGTCCCCTCATCTGCCCATAGAATGTCATGATATCCTCATTTTGCCTATCCTGCTGGTTAAACACCACTGGCTCTCTTCCTCTCAAACACTTATAGAATCACAGAATCATTAAGATTGGAAAAGACCTTCAAGATCATTTGGTTCAACCACCCCCCTACCACCAATGTCACCCACTAAGCCATGTCCCTAAGCACCATGTCCAACATTTCCTTAAACTCCCCCAGGGACGGTGACTCCACCACCTCCCTGGGCAACCCATCCCAGTGCCTGACTGCTCTTTCTGAAAAGAAATGTCTCCTAATTTCTGACCTGAACATCCCCTGGCGCAATTTGAGGCCATTCCCTCTTGGTTATCTGTGAGAAGATGCCAACCCCCAGCTCCCCACACCTTCCTTTCAGGTAGCTGTAGAGAGCAATGAGGTCTCCCCTGAGTCTCCTCTTCTCCAGACTAAACACCCCCAGTTCCCTCAGCCGCTCCTCACAGGACTTGTGTTCTAGGCCCTGCACCAGTTTCGTAGCCCTTCTCTGGGCACACTCCAGGGCCTCGATGTCCTTCTTGTACTGAGGGACCCAAAACTGAACTCAGTACTTGAAGTGCAGCCTCACCAGAGCTGAATACATGCATTTCTGTGTGTTTTTTGTTGTTGTTGTTTGTTTTTCCCCTGAACCAGCTGTTGGATTCTGTAGTTTAACATAACACTATAAACAGTGGAGTTACAGCCTGGCAGATACAACTTGTGACGTGTTTACCAGTATTAGTTGGCATAACTGGCAAATACTTCTCCTACAAACATTATGCTAATGACTTCTGTCGTTAGTCACCATATCTTGCAGCTTCAGATCATACTTCTTTGATATTCTTCTACTTGTGCATCTGATTATTTCTCGCTGTGAACTGCTTTGCATGAATCTGCTGAATGACACCAACAGTTTACAGTATTCTCTCACTTATGTCAAGACCAAGTATATTTGATGATCCCTTCTTAAAAAGGGCATCTACATACACATACATGGTTATTTTTTAAGAATCTTTTGATGTCAGGGAGCACATTAAGTCTTTTTTTTTAATTGGGTTGGCAAGGCTTAAGACTGTTTCAATTGTAGTTTCATTTGGAAAATACAAACTTCCCTATTCCCAACTCTAGTCATCTCTATTCCTTTGGAGGGCAAAGGGAATGAAGGAAGTCTTTCACAAGAGAACAAAACCCACTAAAGTAGAAATTTAGTATGAACTGCCACCTTAGAGCAGGACATAGGCATATCTTGTGTGGCCAACACTGGCTTCTTCATGACAAGTCCTACACCTTCAACGTAGACAATGGCATTTTAGGGAGAATCCCTTTGAATTGCCTTAGTGGTCAGCTCCTGTTAGGGCTACTTTTCTGTAGAGTGTATATAACACTTGCAAAACTGTCTGCAGGGAACTATCAAAACAAGTCTGTGGAACAGAGCAGCAGGTATCACATTTCGGGCATGAGATCCATGTGCAAGAGGTAACCCAATCCACAAAACGTGCACCATCCTGAAGCCATAATCACATCAGTTGTCTTGCCAGGAGCTTGGAGGCACTTGGTTTTGAAAGGAATGGAAGCCCTCTAGTCATCCATATTCCCAGAGGCTCACTCACTAGCAGGTGAATTATGGAACTGAATAGCACTGAGATGCTACATACATTTCTAAGCAAATACCAGGATATACCTGAAGAGTAATCGAAATAATTGCATTCAGCAAAGAGATCACAAAAATGGGAGCAGGGATGGCCAGCAGCATTATTATCTCTCAGGTAAACCAAATAAACCCCTCCCTTTATTTTCTTGATAGTAAATTGAACCTCACAACCAAAGCTGTGAATAGTTTGTCCACAAACATCCCCATTGTCTGAGACTGTTGGACTCCTCACTTGCTGTGTGCTGTCACTAGGACACACAAACATAGCTTGCAAATCATGCCCTGTTACCTGGTACCAGTTACCTGGCACCAGTTACTGCTGAGCAGGATGCAGCAAACAACATTTGCTGCTGCGTGTAAAGGAACAACTAATTCCAATGCTGTGAATTGCAGTGGCTGGCAATGATGAACAGGGAATGAGTTACAATGAAAATATAACTGCACCACTTCAGAGACAGAGCATATGTGGCTCCTTCTCTGAGCAGCTGTACGCTTCACAGAAAGTTGACAGCACAGGAAATAGTCTGAAGCATTGATTGTAGCTGCCAGTCTATTGATTGTCACTTTGAGGGTTCAGGGCATGAAAAAGAACAGAGAAGTCATCTTTTGCCCAAGGAACAGTACAGAAGTTCCAATTAACTCTTTTGTAGAGGTTTCATTTTATTTTTGTGCACAAAGGGAACAGGAACAAAACATCTGCAACTTATGTACTGTACACAAAACAAAACTGTCAGAGAAAACCCCCAAACACTACTGTCTTCCTTCTCAGATGCTTTCACGATTGGATGGTATATAATGCCCCTACCTTCTGACCTCTGTTCTTCCACAATGAAGCATGCCTGGGCTTGCACAGCACACAGCAGTGTTACCCAGCAGAAGAGGGCTAGGCTGTACGGGTTTGCCCTGTCCAACATTACATGTTTTGTCCCATTTTCTTTTAAAGATGGTTCCTAGGAAAATGGTTGTTTTTCTCCACTAACACTTTCCTGTTTCAACCAAAATAAATCAAGTTTATAAATCAAGACTTACTTTCTTCCTTAGAAATCATTTGACCTGTAATGCATTTTGTTTGGCATAAATCAGTTTCAGTCATACAACTATTCGTGTCCCCCTTGCGCTTGTGTTGCTAATAAAGGTTTCCATTTGGCATGGACTGCGAGCATTGAGTTGTTCTCTGTTAATGAGTGTAGGCAATCCTGTTTTGCTGTTAGGCCTTGGGAAGAACTCCAATGCTGCAGCACTGCAATAACCTGTAAAACCCAGCGAACAGATTTGCTGAACCCGGCCCAACTCCAAAGCAAATGAAGTGCTCCAGGCAATTGCTTGCAGGAACCTCTGGGATCCCAGCACTGGATCAAGGAGAGTCATTTGTGGAGAATGCCTGTGCTACCACAGCCAAACAAGATGCTAAGTGGGGCTACAGCAGGCACAAGTTGTGGTAGAACTTCAATTACATTCATCAAAGCACACACAGCAAAAAGAATCCAACACCTCTGCAGCAGTACACGTACCAGGTTGTCTGAGCCATGACCAAGAACTCAGGCACTGATACTATTTGTACTCATACTGGTTCTGTCCCCAGCTTGGGGGAACAGAAAACTTCAAAGTGGCAGGAAAACAATTTACTGTGACCTAGTTAATAGCCAGTACAGGATTCATCTTCATTAGGAAAGCAAAATGATAAATGAGAGCCCACAGTGTCACACTAACTAACCACCAGCAGCTATGTTCTGTAAGGTGATTGCCCAGTGGGACAGGACGCTGTACATCCCAGCATCATGAGAACTGCTGGAATTTCCTGAGGTTACTTCACAAGCCCAGAGATGACAAGCCTCAAGACCACTCCTTGCTTTATCCCATGGGTAGATGGTCCTTACACTCTCCATGAATGACAAATTCAAGCCTTACTGCTCCCAACTTCCACTAATCTGACCAACACCGTCACCAAAGCACTATCATGATTGGAGAGTTCTTGCCTTGAGGGTCTAGTCAAACACAAGCACTTAGTATTACAAGGGAACATGCAAATGTTTCTCAGAGGTCATGAAAATGGAGAGAAACTTCCACTGTAGTTACAGAAGCTGCCCTCTGTAAAGCTTTTATACACCTGTGAATGGGAATTGCAAGGAAAAACTACAAGCCCTTCTCCCACATAGGGCCTTACTGCAGCAATGGACCTTTTGACCCAAATAGCAGGACACTTCTTTCCTCCATACAAAGTTCATTCTTCCTGTTAGGGCTGCTCTTGGATGTTTTGCAGAGCATCGCACACCAGTATTTCACAAAACAGCCTGCAAGATCTTTAAATGTCATTTACTAACAGAAGACCACTGAATTAGTTTTATTTGCTCTTATATCCAACCCTCTTAGGATGCCATAAGGGTGAAAGACTGCTCCATCCATTATGCACAACCAATAAAACATTACAAAAATGTGAAAGGGTAATAGATGCAACACAACAGGTTGCTCCCATCCTAATAAGCTGAAATAGGCAAGAGGCAAGCTGAGGGGAAAAGCAGAACACCAGCAACATGTGGAAAGGCACCCCTGTGCCTCTGAACATGAGCAGCCTGGGTGAGCAATAGCCTTTTCTAGATTCTACATGTACATGCAAGCAAGTAGAACACACCTCACTCCAGGCCACATCCTTCATTTGTGCAGGACTCAAAAAATAGCACTGCACTCTCCAAAGACAGAAGAAAGTCTCACACTCCCACTGCTATGGAACAGACAAGCCATCACAGCACCACAGATTCTTCTTATTACCCAGTTCACAGGTGTTTTACTAAGTCACAGACTTCTCTGTAGTCATTCTGCCCAAGAGAATGGAGGCAAGCAAGGCTTCTTGAGTCAGCTGTGGTTTGCTGGAGCTGTTCAAGAGGACACTTTACACGTGCACTTTGTGGTTCTTCTCACTCATGTCCCTAGCTCCTCAGAACAGGAGGTGGTTTGTGAGCAACTTTTTAATAGGACAGCAGCAGAGCAAAAGCAAATAATGCTTGGGTCTACCTTAAAGACAAACCTAATGGTGGAGAAGGGCAAAGCCCCAGCCTGCTCACTCCCTAATTCACTTCGTCAGTTTGCAGCTTTTTTTATGAACGAAGTAATCACTAAAGCAGTTGTAAGAATAAGCCATAACCAAGACGGAGCTTGGCTATTTTCTCCTATAAATGTCCTTAGTACTCCTCCACAGTCACCCATAATGGACTTTCATTAGTAGAGAACATGGAATCTTGCTACAGAAGGCCAATGAGCAACACACTAGATTCCTGCTGTCCTGGTAGCTTTCTCAGCTAAAGTCAAACCAATTTGCCACCTTCACTGAAGCCTACAGACAAGCGCTTCCCTCCATTCAACCTGGCCTGTACACCCTTTGCTGAGCAGAGGCCTTGACAGAGGGAAAAAGAACAGTCTAATCTTCCTGAGGTGTGAATATTCGATTCCAGTCAGAGAAGAGTCTGTGTTGGGATGGAAGATGTTAATCTTTATGTGACTTGTTATAAGGAATCCAGGAGGGCAGTGTGGTAGGCAGAGTCTGTTCCAGCAGGGTCCTGACTCTGTGCGGGGACATCACGCTGATAGTGCTCAGGAAAATACAGTGTTTTGTGAATCAGATCTTTCACTGCAGAAACGTCATCTTTATCTACAGAAAAGAGAGAAAATTAATTGACAGGGATTCTCAATAGTTAGTAGCCCCCCTCCTCAAGTAGTACCTAGAACTCTAGTTCTCAGCATGTCATCTGCCAGCAGCCTTTCATCTATTTTTTCCTGTACACCCTTTCTTCACTCACCCACACCTAGCTCCTGCAGAAGACTGGCAAACTCTGGGTCATCCTCCAGGATTTTTAACAGGTTGGTGGACTCCATTCTCTCCAGCTGCACATCCCAGTAGATGTAGATCTTCTGATTGAAGCTGACATAAACCAGGCAGGGGCTGTTGCATCCTCCTTTGCATGCATAGAGGCCTATGAAAAGCAGAAGTATGGAGAATGTGGCTACTGCCCACAATACAGAGAAAGCAAATAGGCAACTTCTCACGATGAGAGAAAAAGATGTCAGCATAAAGCAGTGAGCACCCTGGGGGGAGAAGCAGAGACATGGACTTGGCTATGTTAAGTTATTTTGAGACAATCCGAGTAGGTGTCTCTAAACTATGCTATTAATGCATGGAACCTGGCGATTTGTGAGCTGCTTCTTGCAAGTCTGAGAGAAAGGAATTAGCAAAGTCAAGATTCAGGCTGGTTCCATGGGGTTCCTTATCTTCACCTGAGAACAGCTTAGAAGCCCACAAATTAAAAAGCAGTGGGGAAGAGAACACTGTAGCACTAAAGTAGGACAAGAAAAAAACAACAACCCTAAACCAATCAGAGGCATACCCCTGCTCACCCCTGATTATCCTAGATCCCACCAGATGGAAGACCAGCAGGGCCTCATGCAGTATACACACCCCAGGGAAATTCCTCTGCCAACAGACAAAGGATCCCAGGTTCCCCAGAGGACATCAGTAGCTTTGATGGAGAAATGCTTTGAGGGCTGTCTTTGCCACCAGGATCCTCACCTGCACAGAAGGCACTGACATTCTCATCTGCTTGAAATCTGGCAACAGTTCGATTGTGGTCAATGATGTACGTCTGACCGTCCCATGCACAGGCAATCACCTCCTCGTGCCCATTGCCCTGCAGGAACCGTAAGATCTCTTATTAGCACAAACATCAACAATTCACAGAGACAGTCAGGAATCTTTCCTGCTTGTTCAGAGACAGAACACTACTAACTGAACAAGTTACATCACTTTTCGTTTTCTTGGAGACCATCTCCTCTCTATCATAAAGATTATGCATCCTAAGAGCCTGCAGACAAATTGGGGCATTGGCGGTTCGCAAAACCACTCACCTTTGAAATGAGACAGAAGAGCAGCTAGGGGATGGAAAAGTTCATAGCAAGGTGCTGGGTTCACTAGGTCATACAGGCAGCCACAGCTCAACCTCTTGCAGGGAAACAGACTGACATGAGTGCAGAATGCACTGGCACAGTCAGAACCACACTCTGTGTCATCCTGAGATAATCCCAGCAGTTCTTCAGCTGAGTCACGCTCCCTCTGCCCTTTCTAAATTCACACACACAAAACCGTGTTGAGTTTTTATCTTCACTCCTTCCCTGCCAGACCTATTCACAGAGGTACTCACAGTAACATCCAGCTTTTCCAGAGCAAACAGCTGGTGATCAACCTGCACAGACCAAAGCAGCTTGTCTGCCCCTTCCATGAGTTTCAGTGTCCCTGAATGGGGAAGGAAGAAAAAAAAAAAAAGAAAAAAAAAGATTGTCTTGAAAATATTAAAAGGTAGCACAATTTCTGCTAAAATTAGGTCCTGCACACTCTTACAACACTTGAGGTCTGCGTATGGAGGGGAGGGCATGGTACAGGCTGTGGCTGATAACAGATAGTCTCATTTCTGGGAAGGATGGCAGTCTATTATCTTGTCTGCAGTAACAGAAAACAGAAAGGAAAAATGGAAGCAGCAGCCCTGATAACTGGATGCTTTCTAAAACAATAAAATTGTCCAAAACAAGCTCTCCCTGAGTACAATATGCCAACAAGTCTCACATGAGACTACGTGAACAAGCTTCTCAGCATGTCCCACAATTTCAAGAGAGCAGGTAACAGCTGAAAGGTCACTGAGTAATAGTATACACACACCCTCTTAGATGCTAAAACCATGCTGGACACTTAGATTATACAATTTTCCTACTACCCAGAGATTCTGTGATAGTGCCAGAAAGTGTGGAGGGTGGGGGGAAGTGTGTAGCTGTGAGACAAAGTCTCATATAAGATAAACACCAATCTATCCTCACAGTGCCCTCCAGTCTCATTAAGGCTCGTGGAAGAACCATGGCCACAAAATAATCAGAAAGTTCCTAGCAGGACAACATATGGCAGGTGGACATCTAGCCTGAGCAGGCCAGGCTGTCTGTCTGGGAAGAGACAAGCACAGCACCTTGACTCCACACAGTTGGACAGAATCCCTCTGTTCAGTTCATTAGATTAAGTCTGTCCTATCACTGGTGAAGGATCTGGAACACAGATCTTAGGAGGAGTGGCTGAGGGAACTGAGATTGTTTAGTCAGGAGAACAGGAGGCTCAGAAGAGACCTTTGACAGTTGGACCAGATGATCTCGGAGGTCTTTTCCAACCTTAATGATTCTATCATTATTGTTCTCTACAATTACCTGAAAGGAAGTTGTAGGGAGCTGGGGGTCTCTGGACTGCTGGAGCGGCCTCTTCTTGCAGGTAACTAGAGATAGGACAAGAAGGAATGGCCTCAAGCTGCACCAGGGGAGCTTTAGGTTGGAAATTAAAAGACATTTATTCTCAGAAAGAGCAGTCAGGCATTGGGATGGGTTGCCCAGGGAAGTGGTGGAGTCACCGTCCCTGGGGGTGTTTCAGTAAAGGTTGGGCCTGCTGCTTAGGGACATGGTTTAGTGGGTGACATTGGTGGTAGGGGATGATTGGAGCAGATGATCTTAGAGGTCTTTTCCAACCTTAATGATTCTGTAATCCTTAGTCAGTGACACAGCATGAGAACTTGGCTCAGGTTTGGAGTTGGCCTACATGAGGCCAGCTCTTCTCTACCAACACTTGAGTTCCAGCATCCACCTCCTTTACTGCTTTTGGAAATAACCCAAGTCTCTTCAAGTACAAGGACAAATCTCTGCTGTGGTTTAGAGGCTCTTGTTTACATGAATGGCACTGCTGAACTAGCATCACAAACAAATGTTTAAAGTAAGCAGGCAGGTTAAGAGTAAGCAGATATACATGTAAGTTCTGGTCTCACCCTCCACCTCAAGCATGCCTCCACCTCAAAGCATGCCTTCGGGCCAATGACCTAAACTTTTCATTCTCTAGCCTGCTCACAGCAGCAAGGCTTTAATAGTTCTATCCACATAGGCCATGGGGCCAAATGAGTAATTAATGTTTGTAAAATGCTTTGGAATCAACAGAAGAAAGCGCTGCAGTAGGGAAAGGAAAATGCAGATACTAACAGATTGAAAAACAAGTTTCCCAGAAAGCGCAAGCCTGTGCAACATGGGACCCAATTCAATAAGGAACAGAAAGACATGCTCAACTTGAAGATGTTTCATCACATCCTCAGATACAGGCATGTGATCACACACCTGGTTTAAGTGGGGGGCTTGCTTACAGTGACACTCTTACATTCCTGTCTTTGCTTTCATGCCTAAAGCATGTCAGCTAAAGGAGCTGTGGTAGAGTCTCTTGCCTGCCTCAGGAAGCACTTCTGAAGCTCTGTTCCCTCTCCTTTCAAAACCAAAAGGGCTCAGCACCTGTCTCCTACCTGGAGTTAGTGACCTTGGCTACCCCACAGGCCCACTTTCCAGGACAGTGGTAGGACTTACCATCCAGAGTACAGAGGGCAAAAAGACCCGAGCCACTATTCTCACTGGAGCAGCCTGCAAATACAAAAGAGAATTAAAGGAGTTGATACCATTTTAAGAGCATTGTCCCCTCCCTCTCTTGAAAAAAGATCCAAAACAATGAGCTGACTCATACTGCCTCCTTTTTTACCCAGCCTGGACATTTTGCATAACAGGTATCTGCAGTCTTGCAACCCATCCTGCCTCATGATAGCTTTTATTTGTGGGGCACTACTGTCTCAAAACCCAAGAATCTAAACTCTTTGGTTTGCACTGACATAGGCATATCTGGCTCTGCTGACTGCTTCTGCAAGTCTATCAATGCCATGCATGTACTTCCAGGCCCTTGGCAGTTCTGATTGTACTGAACTGCATCACATCCTCTCCAGGCTCCAAAACCACACGGACAGAGGCAGGACAATCACTAAAGTACAACGTGGAGAACAGCCTATGTCAATTGAGTGTTACACCTGTACCCTTACTGTTTTCTTCAGGGGCAGGAATGTGGATTTTGGCTGTTCCAGGAAGAAATACAGAGGGAAAAAAAATAAAAAGAGAGAGATTCTGCTAGGAGGACTACAGATCAGTCACATTAGCACAAAAGCACCTCCTTTGCAACTCCTGAATGAGATTGTGGAGATGATGCTACAAACATTATTGTTTTCACTACAGCAAAATTGCGCAGAAACCGAGGTCCATTCTCACCCAACACTGGTTAGATGCTACAGAGCCCTTGCTTCATGAGCAGGTTAGACATCTGCTTCCATGCTCACACACCCAGCCCTGGCTTTACTGGGTTATGCCCCTACAGCTGTGAACTTCCTGCAAACAGTATCCTCTCCAAGACCTGTAACACACGCAGCTGGGTGCAGGACAGCACCAACAGATGTGACTAACTGAACCTGAAGGAAAGACTCCCCTGACCACCACTTCAATATATTCTCTACCTGTCCATCAGTAAGAAAAGACACGGAAGGTCAGGTTTTGAAATACAACACCCGGTCGGGGAAGATGAGCTGTATTCAACTACAGCTGCATTTTATCCTTGGAGTGACAATGTGGAAGGAAACACTGTCTCCCTAAGATCTAAGATCTTCCTACACAGGAAATCTGGGAAAGTCAGGGGCAAGCCATCAGAGCTGAAAGCAGCTTAGTGCTTTCCTCAGGCAGTTTCCTCAGAATGACACTACTGCAAACTTACCTCTGCCCATGCACAGCTCCACGCTACACCCTACACACTCCCAGAACACAGACTACCCTATTTCTGCAGATGAGCTTAAGGCAGACAGTTGGGATGGTTGGGTGCTCTACTGACTCTAACTTATATCCATCCAGACAAGCTGTGTTCCAAAAGATCTGCCGTGCCTCCTTTATGAAGTGGTCAGCATTGCACTCTTTAGTTGCTTCACAACTACTGGGCCCAGCACTAAGGGGCTTTTCATATTTTCCTCATCCCTAATTCTGCATGCCTTCATTTTTTACAGGCTTCTCTCATGACATGCAAGGCTTTGTATGTGTGAAATAATTGATTTCATGCTCTGTGACTATGGTGCTTGTAACAGTATCTGAGATGCTGAAAAAATGACAAGCTTAGGAACTGGGTAAGAAAGGTACTCTGGGGAGGGGGTGAAAGGCAGGTTTTCAGTAGGTTGTCCTTCTTCCCCAGCTCTAATCTCATTGGACAGCCTAAAATCCTCCCCAGACAGCACTGTAGGGGATAATACTTGGACAGAACAAATGCAGCTGAATTCTAGCCACCTGCAGACAAGGACGGAAAGTCATCTGTGCTTGGAATCTTCTTCTTCCTTGCATTATGCTCCAAGCACAGGGTGAAACCTGCATTCTCCATAGGTATCAAAACAGGGTTCAGTATGTGGGCCAGGCAGAGGCCATGCCACTGAGCAGTTGCACAGGGGAAGTGTTGGCAGAGTGTAAGACATGTCTGGATATAACAGCAGTGTGTTAGGGCTGAGAGAAGACAGCAGCTGTGGAGACTTTAGGCATGATAGCTGAACAGAATACACTGAGAGGAGACAGAGGACAGTGATATAAATGAAATATGGAAGCAGCTCTGCAGGGGTTAGGACTGCATAGATAAAGGAAGAGCAGGATCTAGCTGCTGGAGGACAGGTAATTAGGAATCAAGTGCTGTAAAGCACAAAAGCAAGAATTAAAATTAGGCTGTGGAAAGAAAGAAATGCATCTAGGGAGTAGGAAGGGTGTAAGCTGCAGACATGCAAAAACAAGGATCAAGGACAACTGCAGGGCATAGAAACCATTCAAGATGAATAAATGAAAGCCAGTGGAAGCTGCAGAGAAACTATTGTGCTGGGTGAAGAGTAAGCTAGGGAAGGACAAAGGCTATAAAAAGCTCAAAAGCAACCATTTGGCTGTCCTTCTTTGGAGGCTGGCCTCCTGTTCTTGCAGCTACCTCTCAAAGTTATTACTTTTCAGCCACCGGCTGATTTCATGATGGACTGACGTATTGAAAAAAATAACACAGACAACTGTTGGGCTAAGATCCCACGCTTCAAACCTCTCACCTCGGCCAATGCTACCAATCAGATGAGTAGAAACATTCTTGTTGTGAATTCGGCCAGATGTTTGGTGGAGAATGACATCTCGAACAGGGGCTTCCCTAGGGAAAAAAGCAGCAGGCATCAGGAAAGGTTAGGGAACTGTGCGGGGGGGACTGTACCAGAACAATCTCATGAGCAGTGTACTCCAGAGCTCTCCAAGTCCAGAGATGGATTGGGTCTGTGCATAGGCTAACAGTTCAATGAAATACTCAGAAATAGTCTGCTATCCCAACAGCAAAAAACAACACAGATTGCTCAAAGTGGCAGCCATTTCAGTCATTAGCAGAGCGATTATTTGCTGGGAAAAATCAATTAAAAGAATGCATGCCACCTCAGGAATCAAAGAAAGTTGCTAATGCTTAAAAAATAAAACATAATGATTTGATGCATCAGCAAAATGAAAAGAACTCAAAAAAAGTCAATAAAACACCTATTCCAACCAAGGGAAAAAATGTGGTTTTTGTTTGTTTGTTTTTATATCATTACTGTCACACAAGCCTGGCTGCTATTCATTCAGGAAAACTGTCTGTCTGTGGTTGAACAAGTTGGTCACAAGTCATGTATGGACCTGGGTCCTGGCTAGGAGGGTACTCATGTTCCACTAAGGTCCCTGTGACATCAAGGAGACTAGCTCCTATTCAGTTGATTTTCTGGTTCTGCCTTAAAGTTTCAGAAAACAGCACAGGAGCACCTAAATTTCCCACACTGATCCCTCTAGGGCTAAGGAAAATAACCTCACTGCTCATCCTGCCTTTTATGATTGTGATTTACAGCACTGGCTGCCAGGGTCTCCATTAGAAAATCCTACAATCCTACCTTACTTGGAAAAAAAAAAAACAACACAAACAGTGAACAAATCCAAATTGTTATTCTAGGGATTCAGATTAACTGGCCTTGTCTCAGCCTTTCATTAACCACCCTTCCCACCATTAGACAAGTCCCCAAACTGCCTACTCCTCTTTCTCTGGAAATAAAGGTCACTGTCTTTCCTGTTTTAGTCCTCCAGTACAGCCCCCCTCAGTAAACTGCTTTTGCTATCTCTCTTTGGCCAACCCAAGGAGAAAAGAGTGGGACTCAAGGAAAACAGCAGTATTCAACTCTGTGATAGAAAGATGAATTCATGGGCACTCGGGTGCAGGTGGGCTTAAGCCATAAACTCCCAGCAGCACACAGCAAGTCAGCAGGCTTCACCAGGACAGGTAACGCCATCCCCTCTCCGAAGGCTGGTGTGGTGGTGCCCCCTTGTGACAGCCACATACAGCGGAATCTCTTCATCCACCACGTGCAGTTAGGCTGTTCACCTGCTCGAGGCAGAGCTCTCCCTTCCCTCGGCTGCAGGCTGCTGCTCCGAATTCCAGGTGCAGAGCAGAATGGCATAACCGCAGCCCGGCTGGGACACCATCATCTCCGGTAAGCCGTCAGGGCCTGGGTTCACAGAAAGGCTATCCACCTGTGGCGGCACAGGATAAACATGGTCAGAATTAGACTGAGAACCTTACACACCCAGAGCTCTCCACTGTGTTTGTGTGGATGTAGCAGATTTTCTGACAGAAGCTGAGCAGGAGCTGAACAAATACAGCTAGAGGCAAAATATCCAAATTAAAGTAAAAGGTATCTTCCCTACCAAAAGCCACTTAAGAACAGCCTAGAGGACAATGCTCTCTGGTCAGGTGAGAGTAGCTACCCATTTCCCAGACCATCCCATGAGCTTCCCTGTAAGCACAGGACAACCACGGGGCAAATCTCCTTTCAAGCCATCAAGACAACAATCTCCGTGTTGATAGGACTGAAATTTTGTGCCTCTTCCCCCACTTCCTTACCTGACCTTCTAGCAGCCATTTCTTCAGCAGGATCAGCTGCCCAGAGACATGGTCTGAATTCTCCGACAGGTCCTCCCAGCGAAAAGCACGCACCACTCTGTCAGTGTAACCTACCACCAGCTCACACTTCCCATCTCCATCTGCAGGGAGACAACAAGATAGATAGGCTCTCTCAGGCCTTCATAACCACAACACCCCTAATATTCAGAAACCACTGTGCTGGTTTCCATCAAGTAGCACCCCTGAGGACCCTAATCCCATTAGGAGAACTTGCACTACAGGAAAATATCTGAAGTTCTCATTCTTCTCCTCAAGGACTTGTCTGTGTTTGTTAAAACATCTGTTTCAGCAAAGTAGTCATTTTCCTCCTGTGAGTCCTGTACACTTTCTCTCTTCCCAGCCCCAACTCACACCCACAAATTCCTTCATCCTGCACTCCCACCCCAGCTGCCCTACTCACCAATGTCACTGATCAGCATGACCTTGGTGTTGGCAGGAATATGCTGCTTGAACACTGGCTTCTGCTCTTCTGCCAACTCATGGTGGCCAGAAGCATCTGGGTGTTTTGAAGGTGGAGAAGTCAAGTCAAAAAGATGAAACCAGCCTTCTGCACTCACTGCCACTACAAGATTCTAAGAGAAAAAAAAAAAAAGTCAATTGATTTTATTTCTCTTTTAGAAACTATAGAAGCTGTCACTCAGCTGAGCAAGGGAAGATATGAGGGTGAATCCATCAACATCAGTGACTGTTACAGGGGAACAGAAGAAGATTTTTGGCCAGCATGCAAACCACTCAGGTCCTGTAGGGTCCAAACTTCTTGCTCATTCTTGCCAGAAGATTAGGATATCAAGATGATGTGTGTATGCAATCCCCAGTGTATGGCTTCCTCAATCCTCACTTTAGCTATGCTCCACTCTAGAGTGTGCACAGCTACAGCATTTTAGGCAGGGTGCCTAAACTAGGAGCTTTGGTCATGGGTTTAACTATCAAAAAAACAGCAAAACAGCAAAAGGAGTTATATAAACCCAGAGAAATTTACTTGGAAGTCTGGACTATTCTGTGGCTCAGTCTTATTTAGGTGACCTTAAACACACACAGACAAGTAGCAGAAGGGCCATGACCACAGCACAGATCAGCGCAGAGCAGGATAAAAGCCACTGAGGAAAGGGAGCAACCCTCAAACCTCTGAAATCTCATGGCACTCACAAAGGGAGATGTGCTTATCGGTAATATTTTCTGAAGATAGGATGTATTTCTTTGCTCACTAAGACCTGCATATGGATCACACTGCCCACATGCCCCACAGACAAAGCTGGGGACAGTTTGGCTGCTCTCACCTTTCCTTTATTGCATACATCTCCCACACCAACGCACGTGAGCTGCAAGAGAAAAGAAGGCCTTAAGAGTCCATCCATGAGAGAAGGCAATGCAAGGCAGCACTTTCAGATAAACCCCTGCACCACCCCCTCCTCTCCTCATAAACAGTCTCTTTAACAGCTTCTTCAAAGACAAGAGAGCATAGCCAAAGACAGAAACACATCTGCCACTCAACAACCCAGAGCTCTGGAGCAAAACCCACAGTGCACAGGAACAGGGTCAATGTAGAAGCCCAGTTCCTGTGTTCATTCAGAGCTCGTCATCTCTAACCACATGGCTAGCTGTAAGCAAACGGCGGGTCTTTCATTACCACATGAAAGGCATCAGATCCAGTTCTTGCTGCTACTCCTCTCTGGTCTTCAAGTTCCCAGGCAGTCAAGGACCCGCACCAAAAGGCCCAACCATTTAAAGTTTTGCCAAAAAACTAACCATTCCTTGGCAGGATCGCACAGTCCACGGTTTGCTGTCATCGTTCTTGTACACATAGAGCTTCCCATTGGTGTCTCCTACCACCAGCTCATTCAGCTGTACGAGAGAACCGGGTTAGCAGGTAGGAATTCACAACTACAGCAAGGCAGCACTCCCAGCGCAGTGAGAATCACAGCAATCATACATTAAAATCACTCAGCGGGAAGAATCGGCAGAGCAAAACAAGAATTAGAGAGAGGCTTCAATCAATACAGAAGGTCTGGGGGAAAAAAAATAAATAAAAGCCCTGATTTTACTCTAGCAGGTAAAACAGCAGGAGAGCGGCTCCTTAGAGCAATGCCTTATTATCCACTTCTTCTCCAGAATCCTGTCACTGCCTGTTCAATGTCGTGCATTAAAAACAAACAACCACCACCACTCCAGCTTCCACCCTTTTAAGTTGCGTGCATTTCCACGCTCCCTGCGCCCTCCACCCCACACAACACCCATCCTCACACCCGTCCCCGCGACACCCGGGCAGGGCGACCCCCAGACCCCTCTCCCCGGACCCCCCCGCCCCGCACCGTGTCGTTGTCGGCGTCCCCCAGGCAGATGGCGTGCGGGAAGAGGCTGCCGCCGAAGTCGAGCGCCACGCGTTGCACGTAGCTGACCGAGCGCATCCCGCCGGCCTCGGGGGGCTCCGGGGGGCTCCCGGGGGGCTCCGGGTGGGGGCTCCGAGGGGCTCCGGGGGGCTCCAGCAGCACCAGGCCGCGGCGGAGGGAAGGGGCGGCGTGAGGGAGGGAAGGGGCGGTGCTGGAGGAGGGCTGGCAAACTGAGAGAGACAAGAGGCGGGGGGTTGGCGGAGGCAGTGCTGTAATGGTTTATTTCGTTTTTTTTTTTTTTCGGTAAGAGCATAAGGAATAGTTTGTGCTTGAAGCTTACATGCAGAACTTCAGTTATAAATGCTAGCATGCTGTTTTCTGCCAGCAGCCAGGTGCATTTTTTACAGATAGCATGGAGCCTCCTTTCCACTGCCTGAACACAGCATGCTCACTGCCCTTGGTAAATTTACATTCTTCAACACTTTAGAGTTTCATACGGAATAACAGTGAGGGCCGAACGCTACTTCCACACCTGCTCACATCCAGTGCATCCACCATTGTCCATAAAAATTCCTGGATACTTCTGCTTAACACAATAACCCTGCTTTCAAAGACCCCTTGCTTTAAACTGTCACCCACATGAGGTTGTTTATTTTTTGTTTGTTTGTTGCAAACTGGTGTTCAAGAATTAGAAACTTATTAGGATTTTACCCTATTCTTGCTTTCCCAGCAACAACAGCTTCAGCCACCGCTCCCATTTCTTGTAAAAATTGTAAGCAGATCAAGGCATCCCTGCTGGAGAACAAGGGCTCTTGCTTGACATTCCTGCTCTCCTTTCTTGTAGTCTATTGTTTTGTATTCCTGTCTTAAGAGTAACTCTAAAAAGCACTTCTTTAAGTTGCCTGATTCACAATACAAATTATAGCACTTTATTTTCACTATTAGCATTACCAGCTACAGCTGAAGCTTGAGAGCTTTTCTATTTCCTTGCAAGCGGTATACCTCATAGGAAAGAAATCTCTATGGCTCTTTTATCATCTAAGAGATGAGACAGGAATCTGACTGTTCCAGTTTTGTTACTGTCTTTTCTCAGTAAGATTTTCCCTGTGTTTTGCAGTCTCTCTCACACATTGTATTTGTTGAGATGATTCTACAGTCTTCAGACTTGTTTACTACCGTGCAGCCAGAAGGGCATGTCTTTTGCTACTTTTATAGAATGCATGCAAAGCTCCTCCAACATAACAGGAGGTCACTGGCATGGATTTTTCCATCTTGATTCAATCTAAAGAAACCCCTGTATTAAATATTCTGTTTTTCCTTTTTCCCGGGTAGTGGCAGGCATTATCAACCCATTAGCTTCTTTTGTAGGACTGGAAATGATAGCCTTTTTCTTAGCTTGATTCCCATCACTGTTTTTGTCTTGAAATCCTCTAACTTCAATGGACAAGATGCTCTTCACATCTTGTTGTTACCCAGTTGTAATGTTCCCTTCAGAGGTAGCTGTATTTTGGTAGAAAGCAAAGCTTTCATGTATGCAGAACTGATGATGCTACAGAGTCAGAACTCATGAAAAGTACCTACATTATCTGGTGATTTTAACTTTCCTAAATAACTAGTCTGTGATAGAAAAGTCAAGGGAAACAGCATTTCCTTAAGTGTGATGACCTACCAAGCACGTATCCTGCTGCTTTCTCCTACCTCTTCCCACCCTGAAGAATCTTAGGGCATGCAGAAATCAGTGCAGTTTGCAGATCCCTAAGCTAGCTCCAACCCAGCAGCAGGTGGTAGACTTCTCATCTTTGGACTAGGGGCAGGAGAGTAATTTAGGCTTACCGCTTTAGTGATAGTTAATCATACAGGTCCCAGGCCCAAGGTGTCTCTTCTGCAGAGGCAGGTGCTACAATCTCCAGTCCTATAGGAAGCCCATGAATGAATGCTCCCTTTTTTTCTCCCCCTTAGGAAAGGAGACCAGGAATTCAAAACAAGAATTCAGATATAATCAGATTTAAGACAGGCATATTCTTTGCAATGTACAAACAAATCCAGCCCATTCCATGCCATGGGAAGACAAGACATCCTTCTCAGTGCAGAAGTCCATTACCTGAAAGGAACGGATAAAGCTACCTTCCTTCTGCAAAGCAGGCAAAAAAAATAGTCCCTGCTGCTAGAAGGTGTTGGAACAGGACAGTAAAGATGCCAAGTTTAGCATTACATCACGAAATAAACAACAAAGTTAAGTTTGAATACTCCATTCCATACCTGCAGAGAGGGGAGGGGAAAAAACAAAAAAAAATACCCAACACCCAAACCTCACATACTTCCCCCATTCCCCACCTCCAAAAAACAAAACAAAACAAAACCCACACCACAAAACCACTAGCAAAAAAAACACCCAACATACTATATAAAGAAGCAGAAGGATACCAAATAGCTTCCGTGTGAAATGAGGATCATTCAGAAGTTTGTAGTTCATCAGGAATTATAAGCATTTGCAACACATTTCAACTATTATCACATTTTTTCCTTAAAGCCAGTTACTTTCAGGTATAAATCAGTATTTTCCTGGTCCAGTTTTACAACAAAAAGAGGAAAGAGGAATATAGCGATACAAACAGGAAAATAAACTTTATATGCATAGGTTACAGACATGCTTTGTGTACAATTTTCAGCAACATTTTTTCATTTGCAAACAGATTCTCTATTCATTGTGAAAACTTATGATAACAATAGAGGAAAACATACTGTCACTACTGTACAGCTACGTGGATGAGAAAATGCTGAATGACTAGAGAACAATAAATTCAATTAATTCTGCGCAAATTCCAATAAAAACCCATAAAAGTTCTGTTTTCTTAAGTTTAACCGAAGCTTTATTTCTTAAGCTGTGACTTCACAGTCTTCACCTTCAGTAATTTGCAGAGGGGAGGCATACAAGGAAGGTTACAGCATTTAATGGGGGAATGGGGACAATGCCAAGGCAGAAGAACAGGGAGTGCTGATTTGTTCTCAAATCTCACATGAGGACTGTTGGAAAAGGTCATTGAAAAAAAAAAAATCAAGGAAATTAATCCCAGATTCTGCTTCCTAAATTTAAGTAAGCTGGAACCAGAAAGACAAACACAATGGCAAAATGCAAATAAACCAAGCAGAGTAAATCCAGACAGAACTCAAACAGTAACAGAGGCCGCATGAATAAATAAAGTCCCTAGGATTAAACCAGATTTATGCTGCCACTCAGCTTCTTTCACAGACATACAAAGCTGTAATTGACTATGGCATAGTGGCCTCAGCTTCTGTTCCTCTGAAGCCACTGTCCAACCAGGTAGAAAAATAAAGGTCTAATTCACTGGAAATTCTTTCATTTACAAAACTAATGGAATAGGGTTTGTTTTTATGCTTCTGTGTCAACTTCAGATTTATCTTCAACTCCATTCTGCTCATCTTTCATTTCTGCATCTTCAGTGTGGGTGGTTTGAAGAGTAGTAGCTGACTAAACAGAGACAAAAAAAGGCTCCATTATTCAAAATTGCTAAATTTGCAGACAATACCACAAACATCATTTGATGTCTATCACTGGGACACCTAGACTCCTTGCAAAACTGAATTATGATATTAAGACCTTCAGCTAAGAGAACCTGAAAAATTCTTTGCGTTTTTTCCTGCATCAAGTAACCAGAAGCAGTTTAGAGCAGGCTGAGAAGTAATACTAGTATTAGGTAGTTAAGATTCATAATATATTTACATGCTTGCCACATAACACTTTCTTAAAAGGTTCTTCTACAAACCAAAATTTATTTAGGAAGCCTCTACAGAGAACTCCTTTCTCCTGCTTATGTTTCAATGTGATTCAATTTCAGTGATTCCCATGCCCTGTCTCCTCTCCCAACTTGTAAGAGGCACAGTTGAACTCAGGTTATGAAGAAATATTTCAGACAGCTAGTTTCATGAAAAGCAACTTCAACTAAACAAGTCACTTGGATGTCCTCTACAAGCTTACCTGGAAGAAAAATCTAATCTGACAAAGTGTCTGCTCTAGAAGTGCTCTTCTCCTCGCTCTTCCAGTCCACTTAAAAAGGTGTGGAAGGCAGAGCCACATAATGATCCCTAAATCAGTTTTTACAATAGGACATACAAAGGACTACTGATGCAATAGCAGCCATCACACTTTACTGGACTGTTTAGATATTGGATGTTTTGGACTGTTTAGATATTGGATGTTTAGATGTTAGGAATTTCAGAACCATACTGCACACTGCATTCTTATAAGTAAGAAGGTATTAGCTAAACTAACCCTCTTCTCTAGAAGTCTTCAGCTTCTCCCATACCTACTGCTGGAGTTTGAGTAAGACATCAATGAAGTTGCAGGAATACGTATTTTCTTGCAAGGAAAATCACCAAGACTGACCTAGGGACTAAGTGGCATTTGTTTACAGTTCCATATTCCATAGATCCATTTTCATACAAAATCACAAATATGAAATAGGCCAGATGGCTTCTATTAAAAATAATAATAATATATATATATATATACACACAAACACATGCCAATTCCTGATACTACCTGACAGTGTATTGAGCAGAATGAACAAAGTTGATTCTTTCCTAAAGTAAATGGGAAAATTGGAAGAAAGCATGCTGTCTCTCTACAGCGTCTTCAGTGATGTGCAATGGGAAGACCGTGAATCTGCTTTTTGTGAAAATGACTCTCCCAGCTGTCCTTCTTAGGGAGTGAGGCATACATTTTTAAAATTATGAAGACAGCCCCTTTCATACTTTTACTGGGTATCAGTTGTTTCAGCGATCTTCTATGTACGGCAGATCTTGCAATACACCACACTTAGGGAAAGATACCAGACTCCTAGCAGCTGTGCTACCTGGAAGGAATCTGCACAGCATAGCCAGACAGCTAGCAATTAAAACCTGCAGTTTCACATTTAAAGATTCGTACAAGTGAGGTGATTCTAGTTTGGTTGCTGTATCTTTATCTTTCTGAGATTTTTAATATAAATGAATAAATAAAGACAATGGATGGGTATATCTAAAAGGACAAAATAGCTTCTTCCCAAGATCCAGCAGGCAAGGGCCATTGCTGACATGAGGCTGCCAGGTATGTAACTACCCTGCTCACGGACAATGACACCTTCCTTGCAGAATCGGTGGGGAATGTCTGCATTTTTGTGTTTGTTTATGCTTCTC